AGCAGAAAGGTGGACCAGAACATTAGAGAAGAAGGCAGTGGGATGGCGGCAGCACCTGTTAGTTGGAGCTTCCTGACAGCCTCCGTCAAGCAGGCGATCTGCTCCTGCACCTGCTGGAGTTGAGGATCCATGTGATCGGCGAGGTATTCTGTTGTGCAACACACCACACCGTCAGGGGATTCAAGGTAACCAAGTTTATTCCGTGAGACTACAGGGGAAGTCGAAAGCCGGGCAGGGGTCGATGTGAAGAGCCATCCAATCCGTGCGTCTAATGCCTTGCCGTATTCCGTGAGACAGGTCGAGAATCCAAAAGCCAGGGGTCTATAAGCCGAGAGGAACTTCACGGTGAGGGATGGATCAGCAGGAGGTGCGGGAGGCTCAGGGAGGGCAAGGAAGACTGAATTTAACTGTGGGGAGAACAAAGACGTAAGGCGCTACAACTTGTTGCAGTACACAAACTGGCCAGGGGTAGTGCTAATACTGCACAAATAAATTCAACCGTCTGTAGGACATGGACTCTTTCTGGACCCCCAATTCTGTCGCCGTCACCACTCCTGCAAACAGACCCTCAGCAACACACTACCTCAGACAACTATGCCACCTGTAAAATACATCTTAGTGACCTTAAAACGACTGGCTACCTAAAAATGTTTGGAATGGAATGTCTTTAATTTCATTGTTCAGGAAACAAATACAACAATACCCATCCATCCATCCATCCATTTTCTGCTGCTTATCTGGGGTCAGATTGCGGGGGCTGCGGTCTAAGCAGGGATGCCCAAATCTCCCTCTCACCAGCCACCTCCTCCAACTCCACCAAGGGAATCCCAAGGCGCTCCCAGGCCAGCTGGGAGATATAATCTCTCCAACGTGTCCTGGGTCTGCCCCGGGGCCTCCTCCCAGTTGGACATGCCCAAAAAACCTCTCCCCAGTGAGCCGTTCAAGAGGCATCCTAGACCAGGGGTCACCAACATGGTGCCCGCGGGCACCAGGACGCCCCCAAGGGCCACGAGTCGCCCGCGGACCTGTTCTATAAATAGCACAACTCACCAGTGAGCAGCATCTAAAATTTAATTTTATCCTGTTGCTATTCTTCTTTAATCACATTCGCATTTATATAGATTTGAAAATGACAATATTCAAAAGCTTTTAAATCATGTTTATTATACATGAAGTTTAGATAAGTTTAGGAGGCCATTTCAAACTGGTAGCCCTTCAAATGGCTCAGTACCCATAAAGTTTCAAAAATGTTGGTGACCCCTGTCCTAGATGCCCAACCACCTCAGCTAGCTCCTTCCGATGTGGAGGAGCAGCGGCTCTACTTTGAGTCCCTCCTGAATGTCTGAGCTCCTCACCCTATCTCTAAGGCTGAGCCCAGCTGCCCTGCAGAGCAAACTCATTTCAGCCGCTTGAATTAGACCCCCTCCGTCCCTTGGTTATTCCTAGAGATTTCTAGCCATAAAAGTTGTGAACAGAATCGGTGACATTGGTGGATCTCCCAAGGGGCACGGTTGTATGCCCTTTCCAAGTCCACAAAACAAACAAGCAAGCTCCCATGAACCCGTCAGTATCCTTGTGAGGGTGATGTGATGGTCCACTGTTCCACAACCAGGATGGAATCCGCATTGTTCCTCCTTGATCTGAGGTTCAACCAATGGATGGACCTTCCCCTCCAGTACCCCGGCATAGACCTTCTCAGGGAGGCTGAGGAGTGTGATCCCCCTAATGTTGGAACACATCCTCTGGTTTCCTTTCTTAGAGATTGGGACCACCACCCCAGTCTGCCAATCCAGAGATTCTGTCCCCAACGCCCGTGCAATGTTGAAGAAGCGTGTCAGCCAAGACAGCCCCACAACATCAACAGCTTTCAAGAACTCAGGGCGAATGTCACAGTGAGTGAGGCTAAAAGGTGAGCTTCAGTGAACAGTGTGTGGGGGCCGCAGGAACAGAGGCACACAGGCAAACCCGGGGACAGAATAATGCCCCCAAATGGCAGCTTTTTATCAGGAACAGGGAGAGCAGTGATGGAGGAAAAGGGGGAGGAGCTGAAGGGCTGTTT